GTTGGAAATAGGATTCATAGGACAATTTGGGGGGCACGGAGCACACCAGCTGTATCTCACTGATCATGACATAAGCAGAGTTGCATGTGTGGTAGTGTGTTAAAGTACAGTTGCTCTTCTGCATTTGCTGGTTAGACTTTTTGCAGATTTCATTAAAAACATTCTCTGTTCAAGCCTCTAGATCCTCCAGTGTGATTCTGTGGTTCTTCTGGTGGAGGTTGACTATAAAGTTGTGCTGGTGGACCTAGAAATTCTTAGAGAGTTGTTTTTTCAGGTTAAAGAGAAGAATAGAAGGCACACTATTCTTTTCGTATTGTGCCTTCTAAATGTGCATGGTGTGTTAGCCATTGAGCATTGATCCACTTGCTCTGTGTTACCATGTTACTTACTATGGTGGTTTCTGAATGGTTAATATGGAGGGATGTGGGATCTTGGCCACAATAGACTTAGGTTTCCGATAGTTTTTCCATTTCTCCCCAGGTTCCTCGGCTGCGATTAAGCTAATCCAGCCACCTTCAGTGTCAGAGTCTCTCGGAAAAATAGCTAAACTCTCTTGTTCGATGGATGGTGGGACCTTTGGCGCAGTTGTCTGGTTTCAGCAGAAACACGGAACACGCCCAAGATATCCTCCTGACATACAACACAGGGCCATTGGTCTCTGCTAAGTTCTCTGCCTCGAAAGATAGTAAGAACCAGATTTGCTACTTAATGATTACTGACATTCGGGATGAGGATGAGGCTGACTATTATTGTCTAGCCTGGACTGATACGATGTACACGGTGGCCTCACCAAATGGGGAACCCTGTCAAAACAAAGGCATCTTCAAGATTGAGCACGGAGCTGCATAGACAGAGTGTTACTCTTCAGCGGCTTGATACAGAATATTGGCCTCTGCCTTTCAGTCCATCCCATGACACTTTCCCTTTTGATGGATCCCTTTGGTTGCCTCCTGGGACAAGATATAACCCAGAAATCAATTGGATTCCATGGAAGGATCCCAAGGGATTCCTCAATATTGCATGCTTGCCAGCAGTAGTCACCCCAGATATCTTCCACCATCTGCACCTGATGATATGGCAGAAAACCTTGGGCTATGCATGGATGCTCTTTTCTCCTGTTCCACTCCTTCACCAAAGGGCAAGTGCCAGTACACAACTTCCTCTAGCTAAGACTAAGGGTGTGCTGTCTACACTGTAAAAGGAATGCTGAGACAGCTTGGACTGCCACAGCTCAAGGCTGTGGGATCCTGAGAGTTGTAGTTCTGCAAGGTCATTTGCATTCCCAGCCCAAGAGTGTGGGTGCCTCAGCAAACTATAGATCCCAGGATTCCATTGCACTGAGGAGGCTGATCAGAGTGTCATGCAGGAGGATTTTATTTATTTATCGTGCCAGGACATATTGGTTTTGGCAGGCTTTTGACCTTTGATATGTTGTTTTAATTTATGTCAGATTCCAGTTTGTTTTTGTAAGCCGCTCTGAGCACTAGGGGAATGGCGGCATATAAGTTTGAATAATAAATAAATAAAATAAATAAAAACCAAAACAGTTGTGTTGCATTTTTAACAAACAAACAAAACACAAAGTTTACAAGCTTGGTAGTTGATTGAATGTCCTTTGACCAGTAGCTGGCCACTTGGAGTGCCTCTGGTGTTGCCGCAAGAAGGTGCATGTAGCAGGGCTCAGGTTGCATTGCAGCAGGTGGTCTGTAGTTTGCTCTTCTCCACACACGCATGTCGTGGATTCCACTTTGTAGCCCCATTTCCTAAGGTTGGCTCTGCATCTCGTGGTGCCAGAGCGTAGTCTGTACAGCGCCTTCCAAGTCACCCAGTTTTCTGTGTGCCCAGGAGGGAGTCTCTCATTTGGTAGCAGCCATTGATTGAGGTTCTGGATTTTAGCATGCCACTTTTGGACTCTCGCTTGCTGAGGTGTTCCAGCGAGTGTCTCTGTAGGTCTTAGAAAACTATTTCTTGATTTAAGTCGTTGACGTGCTAGTTAAACCCAAACAGGGGATGGGCTGGAGATGTCACTGCCTTGGTCCTTTCACTATTGGCTGCTACTTCCCGGCAAATGTCAGGTGGTGCAATACCGGCTAAACAGTGTAATTTCTCCAGTGGTGTAAGGTGCAGACACCCTGTGATAATGCAGCATGTCTCATTAAGAGCCACATCCACTGTTTTAGCGTGGTGAGATGTGTTCCACACTGGGCATGCATACTCAGCAGCAGAGTAGCATAGCCCAAGGACAGATGTCTTCACTGTATCTGGTTGTGATCCCCAGGTTGTGCCAGTCAGCTTTCATATGATATTGTTTCTAGCGCCCACTTTTTGCTTGATATTCAGGCAGTGCGTCTTGTAGGTCAAAACACGGTCCAGAGTGACTCCCAGGTATTTGGGTGTGCTGCAATACTCCAGTGGGATTCCTTCCCAGGTAATCCTCAGAGCTCGGGATGCTTGTTCTTAAGGTGAAAAGCACATGTCTGTGTTTTATATGGATTAGGGATCAGCTGGTTTTCCCTGTAATAGGTGGTAAGAGCACCTAGAGCTTCAGAGAGCTTCTGTTCAACCATCTCAAAGCTCCCTGCTTGAGCAGTGATGGTACGATCATCAGCATAGATGAAACTCTCTGTCCCTTCAGGCAGTGGCTGGTCATTTGTGTAAATGTTGAACATGGATGGAGCAAGCACGCTCCCGAGGCAGGCCGTTCTTCTGTTTTCGCCATCTGCTTTTCTGGCCCTGGCACTCAACAAAAAAGCCCCTGTTTTGCAGATTTCCTATGAGGCGGGTGAGGTGGTAGTCCTTTGTGATACTATACATTTTTCTCAGGAGGAGGTGGTGGTTTACAGTATCAAAAGCCGCTGACAGGTCTATGAAGACAGCTCCTGTGATCTGTTCCCTTTCAAAGCCATCTTCTATGTGCTGAGTCAGGTTCAGCACTGGTGACGTGCAGCTTTTGCCCTTCCTGAAGCCAGCTTGCTGTGGAATCAGACATGGGTCTATTTTTTCCATAATTCTATGCAAAATGAGTCTCTCCAGAACTTTGTAGAGGTGGCACAACAGGGAGATTGGTCTATAGCTTTTTGGATCTTTACGGTCTTTGTCTGGCTTCAAGATGGCGATGACTCTTGCTTTCCTCCAGCTTTTGGGGATCTGACAGGATGCAGTACAGTTGTTAATCAGTTCCAGCAGCCAGCACCCTTGCTTTTGGACCAAAGTTCTTGATTTGTTCCATCCGTAGATCATCCAGGCCAGCTGCTTTGCCATTTTTACATTTATTGAGAGCCATGACCAATTCAGTAGATGTAAAAGGTTCATGAAGGTTGTTGTTCTCAATCTCTGGTTGTCTGGCTATTGGTTTCTTTCCTACTTTGGTGGCAAGGTTGGGTTTCCCATTCTTCAAGAGTTGGTGTGCTATCTGATCTGCCTTTATGTTGGCATGGGTATTAGTTTGTGAGGGGTCATTGCTCAACCGTCTTAGCAGCCTCCACGCCTTCTGGCTCCTCCTACCCATGTCGACCTCTGTGATCAGCTTGATCCACTGTTCTTTCTTGGCTTCAGAGATGGAGGACACAATGCTCTGCACTGCCTGAAGGGTTTGCTCACTAAATGGGTCATTGTTGTGGAGCCTGTAATAGTTTTCCAACAAGGCAGCTGTTTCAGGAGTAATGCCCTGAAGGTAGTTGGTTCTGCAGCCTCTCGGTATAGAGGCCTGTGAGCAGGTTTTCACTATTTCAATAAAGTGCTCGTATTCCTCAGGGATTGGCGCGACCGATATGATCATGTCATCTAACATATCTGAGAATTTAGTCCAATCTGCCTTTCTGAAATTGAATCTTTGTTTAAATCGAACTTCCTGAGGCCTTATAATTGGGAACAGTTGGCATACTATTGGTCGGTGCTGTGTGTTTGGGATTGGTGGTCCCACTGAGTTAGTGCAATGCTGTACAATGCTGTCGCTCACAAATAAGAGGTCTAGGTTATATCCTTGGTGTCATCTCCATCTCCTTGGTTATTTTGCTTGCTTGTTTGCATGCTGCAAGTCGCTTCTGGTCGCTTCTGAAGTGAGAGAATCAGCTGTCTACGAAGACGTTGCCCAGGGGACGCCCGGATGTCTTGCAATCCTGCGAGGAAATTTCTCTCATGCTGGAGGATGACCTAGACATTCCCAGAGAGATGTTCTCTTAGTTGAAGAAGCAGCAACCTTTTATTTGAAGATTCCCACTTTTGGAGAGATCCTGGGCCCCTCTCATGGCACCGAATGAAGAAGGCCACCTGTCTTCACCGTTGTGTTTCTTTACATGTACATTCATATTTTATAATAATATCTATTACCGGGACTGTAGTGCAGCTAGCCGAGTGTCCGCTGCAGTAGGATCACTTCTGACCAAAAGGTCATGAGTCCGAAGCCAGCCCGGGTTGGAGTGAGCTTCCAATCAATTGTGTAGCTTGTTGGCGACCTTTGCAGCCCAAAAGAGAGTTGCATCTGTCATGTGGGAAAATTAGGTACCACCTATGTGTGGGGAGGCTAATTTAACTAATCTATGAGGCCATAAAAAAAGACTCCAGCAAAGCACTCCAGCAAAAGCATGTGGGGAATGCGGAAGTACTTCATCAGTGTCCCAGATGGACGATGAAAGTGACAGCTCCCCTGGTGGCCAGAAAAGTTAAATAGCCTCTGACTGTCTGTCTATATCTGTTGTGTGTCTTTGGCATTGGATGTTTGCCATGTATGTGTACATTGTAATCTGCCCTGAGTCCCCTGCACGGTGAGAAGGCTGGAATATAAATACTGTAAATAAATAAATAAATAAATAAATAAATAAATAAATATAATTTGAATGGATGTTTAATTCTGCCATGGACTTACGCGTTCCTGTGATATGTAGTTCCAGCACTGCCAGTAGCCCTGGGGCAGATTTGCATGAGGGCTTCCTTCTGCAGCTCATGTTGAATTGAAAAAGGAAGGAAGGGGGAAGCTCCTGGACAATCGTTGGTGTGTTTGTGATAGCCCAACTCTCTGGAGAGCTCACCATGGCTTGGACCTTGCTGTTCTTGGTTCTTCTCGATTTCTATGCTGGTAAGGTAGAGAAGGGTTTTAGATCACCCCTAAAGGGCAACAAGGCAAAGGCGGATGAATCAATTGCATTTCCATTTGTTCCTCTCTTTTGTCAAAGGTGTCCATTCTCAGGGAATGTTGACTCAGCCATCTTTAGCATCTGGGTCTCCAGGACAGACAATCACACTTTCCTGCACCAAAAGCAGTGGCAACTGGAACAGTGAAGTCTACTGGATTAAAGAGAAATCTGGAGAAGCCCCTCGTATTGTTCACTGCAACGGCTGCAGCAGAGGAGAAGGGATCCCAGATCGGTTCACGGCAACCGGTTCTGGGAACACAGGCTCTTTAACCATCACAAATGTTCAGGCTGAAGATGAGGCCAATTATTACTGTATCTGTTATTCCAGCACAGTCAGCGTGTATCACAGTGGTCCATTCTCATGGGGAAGTCAGACAAAAATGTAGCTTCTTCTCTCAAAAAGAGGAAAGTCAGAAACCATTAAGAGCTTATCCTGAAGATGTGCAGGTTTTTGAGAAGAATGCAAGATTCTATCCCCCTCTCTCAACATTTAAATAATAATAATAAACTCCACCGAGGCTAGGCTGATATTTTACCTGTTGCAGGAGTGCCACTGAATAACAGGCAGATTGGCTTGTAGGAAGCTTACTATCTAAGCTCTGCTTAGTAGGAAAGGTCTACTTGGGATGAAAATGGCATAAGATTTGCTTCTCTTGATACTTGTCCCTTCTTGCATTGGTAAAGCCAGAGAGATCCCTTCCCCTCTTGGCAAATTCAAATGTATTTGATTGAAAATGTCATCTATAGGAATCTCTAATGTCCTTCAGTGCAACTCTGTGGTCCACTTGGAGCACAAAAGTATTGTGTTCAGTGGAAGTTGTCCACAGATCAAGCTGGGTCCCCTAGAGGTTCCTAGAGCGGTGCCCTCTGAGTTTAAGAATTGTTGTTGTTGTTGTTGTTTATACCCTGCCTTTTCTCTCCACAACAAGACTCAAAGCAGCTTACATGAAAAGCATAAAATAGCAAAATTTAATTGTCAGTTTTCCACTTTTGCAAGTATGTTGTGACCCGAACACCAGCAAAAGTGGAGGGCTGACTGTAGTTCACAATTTTGCTGCTTTATACTACTTATAGTTCATGTGTCGCCTGCTCTCCTGGCTTTATCCTTTAGAGGGAAACCTTGTTCCACCTTCCCACCAGAGAACCTGATGGCCAACCTCAGAGACTCAGCTCCCCCTGTACCTTCGGGTGATGTGAAGCAGGAGAATATTCATGAGGCTTAGCTGCTCTTCCAGAGCTTTTTAATTTATTTCTACATTCAGCTGGGGGGCTGCCAAGCTAGTCCCTTTACTACGAAGTTCATTGTCTGAGATCGAGACAAAGTTTTTGGGGGCCTAGAATTGCTTGACATTCTGGGAAACCCAAGTAGGGGCTGGAATGGTTTTCATGGTGTCACCTCTTGGATATCTGTCTCTTGAATATCTTGTTGGTAGGCTTCCCATTGGAATGTCAACTCACCACTGTTGGAACAAAAAGTTGGACTAGGGAGGCCTTTAGTCTTCGTATCTTATTGGATCTTATATTTCTGGGGTGTTCTGATGGAGTTCTTGTGACCATTTCACATTCTTGTGATTTCAGCTGGGTTGGGGTCCAAGGCAATTGAGCATCCCTCCTGGTTTGGATCCTCAAATGTGGAAAGAAAAAGGAATAGCTTGATTTCCTTCCTCACTGATCTTTCTAATTCTCAGGTTTGAGACCTATCTATTGTTCAAAATGGTCATCTGTTCACATGATGTCACCTCTGTTTGGCAAACGTGAATCTCCATGAACATAGAGACCACCTGAAAACCACCAGTCAAAAGAAAAGTATGACCATGTTAGAAGTCAATCCTTAAGGCAAGTGATATTCATAAAGTATTAATGTAATAGCACACGGGTAGCTCAGCTGTTAAACTGAAGAACCATGTCTTTAAACAGCCAAGGATAAAGACAGGCCAGTGAGGCCACTACAAAAATATATCTGGTTAGCAGAGGATGGCTGTTTCTTTGAAGTAGAAATTGCTGTTGCTGTTATCCACTCCCTTAAAAACTCTTATTTAAAACATACACTCAAGAGACAAAACAAAGTAGTCTTCTTTGAAAAATAGCATATCTTGTTTACTAACAAACTTATATATATTCACCATAGAAGCACATAGTCTTTAAATGTCTTTAAGCAGGCCCGTAGCCAGGATTTTGTTTCTGGGGGAGGGGGGGGGGGCTGAATTTTTCTCAGGGGGGGGTTGGGGGGGCTGAGTTTCGGGGGGGGGGCTGAGTCTGAGTGAAAGAGGGTCTAGCCTAGCAAACCTTTTGTATCATTACCCCAATACCCCCATGCATATGGGATATATTGAGTATGGTGATCAGATCATGATATGAATAAACATAACAGTTTAAATAATGCACCAGTAAGGCCTTTTCGCTAACCACCATGAGAATTTCGGGCCCCCCCCCCCCCCCCGGCTACATGCCTGTCTTTAAGCATATCTGTACTCACTCAAGTCCACGAGCACACACATCCACCTCCAATGAAGTGGTAAGCAGACTTATAACTCTGAAATCCAAAAGTAAACATGTATCCACCTCCACAGAGGTCTGATGCAAACTGAATACAAAATGGATTCCTGTGTCTGAAGCCCCTCCCACACTAAAGAGGTACAGTCAAACTGGCAAACCAAAATGTACATACAATATAGGTTAACACAGTGGAGGCTTGGAAGGTTGCTATTTCCAACAAGATTTGTATGAAGGCCTCCTCCTTCAGCTCAGGTTGAGTTGAAAAAGAAGAGAAGGGGGGAAGCTCCTGGACAATCTTTGATGTGTTTTAGATAATTCAACCCCGTTGGAGAGCTTACCATGACTTGGATGTTGCTGTTCTTGGCGCTTCTCAATGTCTATGTTGGTAAGGCGGTGAAAGGTTTTAGATCATCCCTAAATGGCAACAAGGCAATGGTAGATGAACCAATTACATTTCTATTTGTTCCTTTCTTTTGTCAAAGGTGGCCATTCTCAGGGTACATTGAGTCAACCAGCCTCACCATCCTAGTCCCTGGGACAAATGTTCACACTCTCCTGCACCAAAGGAAGTGGCAGCTGGGTCATCTGGAGAAGCCCCTCGCTTTGTTCATTGCAGTAGCTGCAGCAACAGGGGACCAGGGATCCCACATCGGTTCATGGCATCTGCCTCTGGGAACACAGGCTTTTGACCATCACGAATGTCCAGGTGGAAGATGAGGCCGATTATTACTGTGTGTGGTGTACACTACAGGCAGCTCATATCACTGTGGTCGACTCTCATGAGAAAGTGAGACAAAAATCATGTTCCCCTCCTGTCCCCCAGAAGAGGAAAGTCAGAAGCTCTGAAAGGCTTATCATGAAGATATTGCCCCTGATTTTGAGAAGACAGAATGATCCCCCCCTCTCTTTAAAAATAAAAAAAAATCAATCGAGGGTAGATTGTCCTGTTACAGCAGCACCACTGAATGCCAAGCAGATTGTTGATCAAAGCACCCTTTTAGAGTGACAGGGCTGGGAGATTCGGTGCAGAAAAATTGGGGGCATCTACAATGTAGACGTCATACTATTTGACCCAACGTGAACTCCATAGCTCCATGCTATGCCATCCTGGGAGTTGTAGGTGCCTCATCCAACTATGGAGGTGCAGTTAAACCACACAAATTCTACAGTGTAGATGCACTCTGAAGGATATCTATCCCTGTATCCTTCCTTACTGTACTAAACCATGTTTTTGTTCTTGTCCCCCATGCTCCGATTCTTCAGAAGCGAGAAGCCCAAGATAAAAGTGCAGCATATTGACTATAATGGAATCCTTTCCCCTTCCCACCATCAGATAGTCTCAGCAACTGGAATTCCCTATGAAGCTGGTGCTTTACTCAGCAAGTGATGCCAATCACATGCCCTGACACACAGGTCTTCCATCACTCATTGGGCAGTTCAAGGACAGATACAAGGTTTTGTTCTTTCCATTCATGTGTGTCTTCCCCAATTTGTCCCAGTATAATAAACTGCATCTATTGTGTGTGCGAGATTCTGAACATTAACATCAAATAATATGTAGATGCAATGGCATGGAAGTCTTGCTTCATGTGTTGAGTCTTCGAGGTGTATGTCTGGTGGTCTTTGGGAAAGGACCCAATCTGTGTGAACACGAGTTCAACAGCAATGATGCTAGAGATAATAAAGTATAATAAAAATGTGTGTGAGTCATGTGAGAGCCACTCAGGTTGAAATCCTTGCTTGGCCAAGGACACCCTTGGGCAATTCACTTAGTCTTAGAGAAAGGCAATGGCACAATCTTCTGAACAGCTTTAGTGAGTTAGAATCACCATAAACCATGAATGACTTGAAGGCAGAGGACAATAGTTCATGAGATGATTCATGACCTGGTTTAAACCTTTATGGGGCAAGCAACTGTTGCTTACACTTCACCAATCTTACCAAAACTTCAACTTTGTTATGAAGTGAATTCAAGGCAATTTCATTCACCATGGGTGATTCCAGCACAACAATGGCATAACAGTACCCTTGGAACTGTATGCCCACAGCTCTAAGCATCCAACAGAATAATGGATGTTGAGAAGATGCTGGTTGAGGGAGGCTTTTCAGCAGCCAATGAGCAAATGGTTGCTTTGCATATCAGGGAAGATCTCAAAACTTGGAAGCAGTTTAAGACTGGAGGATAGGACACCATCGAGGGTGACATTTTCTTTGCAAGTCAAGCAATCTTGATTTGTTTTTTGCAGTGATGGCTTGGGCCTCCCTTCTCTTGCTGCTTCTTATGTACTGCTCAGGTGAGTGGAGAAGGGTTCGATCATCTTCCCCTTTCCAATGAAGTGAAGGGTGATCTTCTTGAGCATCACTTAGCCAATATATTCATTCTGAGCTAAACTTTGTTTTCCAGGCATTGCCTCGCAGCCCACACTGACTCAGGTTCCTTCCCAGTCTGTGACTCTTGGAAACACAGTAAGACTTACAACCACTGTGAGCAGAGACCATGAGTATCATGCTGTCTCCTGGTATCAGCAGAGAGAGGGCCAGGCTCCCCGGTTTCTCCTTGATACTAGCAACAACCGAGGCAGTGGGACCCCAGACCGGTTCAGTGGTTCCAAACCAGGCAGAGAAGGTTATTTGACCATTACCAATGTCTTGGCAGAGGACGAGGCAACTTATTACTGTGTTGCATCTTACCATGGCTCTGGTAGTGGCTACATGTAAGGCACAATGATACAATTGCAAGGGGAACTGAGACAAAATCTCCTGAAGGAAGATGTTTCTGTGTGGTATTCAAAAGCATTGACTTCATAAAGGGAGTGTGTGGGAGGAAGCATCTTGAATATCATTTGGACACGTTGCACTATTTTCATGTGAGTCTCACTTAGAGATATAGACCAGCATCCCGTGTGTTAGTCCAAAATAGCGAGCATAGATGTCTTGAATCAGTGGGATTGACTTCTGAGCTGGCTCAAGATCTAACGGGATCTATGCAGGCAAGTCTGGCTGGTACAGGCAAGAGCTGGTTGGGATGAAGCATGTGAGGAGGGGGCTAGAGCGCACTTGGAGGAAATCTCGGGGCGTGTCTGATCGAGCACGGGCTACAGCCTCTCTTAGGGCGTATACCGTGGCTATACGGGTAGCCAAGGAGTTCTATACGACTACCCGTATAGCGTCTGCAGCAAATAGATCATTGGAGTTGTTCCGGGTCGTTGGGGAACTCCTTCAGCCACCTGTGGTGGAGGAGGTTTTTGACGACCCGGAAACTCGGTGTTGCGATTTCGCACACCACTTTGCAGACAAAGTCACTCAGATACGCCTTGAGCTCGACTCCAATTTCATCGCAGTGCCAGGGGAGGTGATTGAGGCATCTGCTTGTCCAATTTTGTGGGATTCTTTTAAGCTAGTTCCTCCTGAGACTGTGGAGGAGGTCCTTGGGGCTGTGAGGGCAACCACTTCGGCGCTGGACCCTTGCCCGTCTTGGCTAATCAAATCAGCAAGGGAGGGGTTGGTTGACTGGTTTGGGTCGATTATCAATGCATCATTGGAGCAGGGGTTTTTTCCATCTCCTGAAACAAGCTGTGGTTCGTCCACTCCTTAAAAAGGCTTCCCTTGACTCCACGGTGCTGAACAATTTCAGACCGATCTCCAACCTCCCTTTCTTGGGTAAGGTGTTGGAGCGGGTGGTTGCCTCCCAGCTCCAGGGCTTTTTAGATGACATCAACTACCTAGATCAGTCACAGTCTGGTTTCAGGCCTGGTCACGGCACCGAGACAGCCTTGGTCGCCTTGGTGGATGACCTCCGTAGAGAGCTGGACAGGGGGAGTGTGACTCTGTTGGTTCTCTTGGACATCTCAGCGGCTTTCAATACCATCGATCATGTTATCCTTCTGGGTCGTCTCTCTGGGATGGGCCTCGGGGGCACGGTTCTGTCGTGGCTCTGGTCCTTCCTGGAGGGACGAACCCAGATGGTGAAGCTGGCAGAGTCCTGGCGTGCCTTTGACCTGTGGGGTCCCGCAAGGCTCTATTCTGTCTCCCATGCTTTTTAACATCTACATGAAACCGCTGGGAGAGGTCATCCGGAGTTTTGGAGCTAGGTGCCATCTCTATGCGAATGACACACAGCTCTACTACTCCTTTCCACCTAACTCCAAGGAGGCCTCTCGGGTGCTGGACGAGTGCCTGGCTGCTGTGTCTATCTGGATGAGGAGGAACAAGCTGAAGATCAATCCCGACAAGACAGAGGTCCTCTGGTCGATCGCAAACCTGACCGGGGTATAGGGTGGCAACCTGTGCTGGACGGGGTTACACTCCCCCTGAAGTCACAGGTCCGCAGTTTGGGAGTCCTCTTGGATTCTATACTCTCACTTGAGGCTCAGGCGTCGGCGGCGTCTGGGAGGGCTTTTGCACAACTGAGACTTGTGCGCCAACTGCGACTGTACCTCGCGAAGGCGGATCTGGCCGGTGTGGTCCATGCCTTGGTCACCTCCAGATTGGATTACTGCAATGCGCTCTACGTGGGGCTGCCCTTGAAGATGGCTCGGAAGCTCCAACTGGTCCAACGATCAGCAGCCAGGATGCTAACGGGGGCCCCTTACAGAGAGAGGTCAACCCTCCTGTTTAAGGAACTCCACTGGCTGCCGTTTATATTCCGAGCCCAATTCAAGGTGCAGGTGCTTACCTACAAAGCCCTGAACGGTTTGGGACCAGCCTACCTGCGTGACCGCATTTCCATCTACGAACCCACGCGTTCTCTTCGGTCATCTGGAGAGGCCCTGCTCATGATCCCACCAGCGTCGCAGGCGCGCTTGGTGGGGACGCGGGACAGGGCCTTCTCCATAGTGGCCCCCCAACTCTGGAACACCCTCCCCAAAGACCTTAGACAGGCCCCTTCATTGGCTATCTTCAGAAAGAACTTAAAAACCTGGCTTTTCCGATGCGCCTTCCCAGATTAGGAAATCTCCACTACCGAGTCCCACAAGCACTTTACCAGAACCAATGATTGCTGCACATTGCACATCGCACTTGCCCTAGTAACCCTCTATACACCTCCTGTCAAATCAGCACTTTTAATCCTTGTACCCACCTTTTGGCCCGGCCCAGTTTTATTGTGTTTTAATGTACTGTGCTTGTTGTTTATTTTGCTTTAATTTGTTTTAATTGTTTGATTTGCTTGATTGTATTGTTATGTTGTATTGTTGTGGCCTCGGCCTGTTGTAAGCCACATCGAATCCTCTGGGAGATGCTAGCGGGGTACAAATAAAGTTTAATAATAATAATAATAATAATAATAATAAGTGACAAAGTGATGAAGGCACGTCACCCCATTGTGTATCAATCAGGTCTCTGGCTAGGGAGTGCAGATGCGCATTGGGAAATTCTTTCTGAGGTCCTGTTACACATTGTTACAATTCACTCACAGCATTTCTTAGTGTTTCTTCTACATAAAGTTACCCAACACCTTTACTTTCCAATGTTTCCTTTTCACCTCCCAAAATTGAAAGTGTAATGATAAAAAGCCATGGGAACAGCTTTTCGCTGTGTGTTCTTTTAGTTTGCAGAAATGCCATTCAAAGATTAATGTGATGTAAAGAGGAGCTGGTTGCATGACCTGTCCATGAGAAGCCTTTTTCATTTCAAATCCCAAAAGATCAACCACTTCTAAATAATTTGTTCCAAATTTGTTTTCAAAAATCTTTTAAGTTTGGTGGGATCATGTGTTCCATCTTTTCATTTTAATGGGATCTTATGTGATGCCTTTGTTTTCACTTTGAATACACATTGATGCATGGGTTGTCATTGGATTTGATGAACCTTTTGGTCTCATCCAATGCTATGGACTTTTATGGAGAGTGGTGTCCATTTCCTTCCCTGTAAGCTGAGGCAGAGGTCACAGGGCCTCACCATGATGCTATGATGTGAAGCCAAGCAGGAGAACGACCACCTGCTGCCAGTTTTGCCTTGGTTGTTGTGTAGGCCTCTCATGCATGGAGGCTGTATTTAAAGAACACCACATTTGCATGAAGTGGCTAATTTGTTGTGCTGAGAGGGGTTTAAGAGAGAGCAGAAATATGCCACTCGGTGATTCTTTTGCTTCTGGAAGATCTGCTTATTCATTCTCAACACAATGGCCTGGGCCCTCCTTCTCTTTTCAATCCTGGTCGCCTTTGGTGAGGGAATGTCATGAGAGGGAGTCCTTTTGGAAAATGGAGAATTGGGCACATCTGTCATGTCACTGTAGTGGTTCAAATGATTTCATTCTCCCCTCCTTGCCTTGATATCTTCCAGAGCCCAGTTTCCAGCAACTGCAGACCTTGAAGGACCCGGAATCGGTGGCCGAAGGGGGGACGGTCACCCTGTCTTGCAGGTACAATAGTGGAAACATTGGGGATGGCAACTATCCTTGGTGGACCCAGCATGTGTCTGGGAGTAAACCTCGGCAGGTGATGCATAGCACCAGCACCCGGCCCTCGGGGGTCCCGGCCCGTTTTTCGGGATCGAGGTCTGGAAATGTGATGTCCCTGACCATCACAGGGGCCCTGGTGGAAGATGAAGCCATGTATTACTGTGCTGTATGGACAGGGAGTGAGTAACACAGTAGTTCATTCAGATAAGGAAGTGAGACCAAAACCTCTTCCTTTCATTCTGCCATTTATTTGTGAACTGAATGTGAGCTAACCCTGCTCCCCAATTCTTGCATCTCTTCTATGGAACTCATCAGATTAGAGCATGGATCTACTTTAAACCCGGTTGCTTCCTCCTGCAGAATTCTGGAGTTTGCAGTTTAGGGAGGGCCCTTTAAACTGCTCGGCCAGAAAGGTCCTGGGCTCCAAGGGCTCCGTGGAGCACAGTTTGAAAACCCCTGCTTTAGAAAAGTAAAATAAAATAAAATACATGCCATAAAAAAGTACAGTATATTCTGGCGTATAAGACTACTTTTTAACCCAAGAAAATCTTCTCAAAAGTCAGGGGTCGTCTTTTACGCGGGTGTAGTCTTATGCATGGGAGTCGTCTTAACTCTATATTTTAACTGGAAAAGTTGGGGGTCGTCTTATACGCCCAGTCGTCTTATATGCCGGAATATACGGTATATCATACAAAGAGCCATTTTCTCCAACAATCACGTCTCGCCATGAAAGGGAACATATATAGTGGGACATTTCACAGACTCATATAATACATAGTATGCAATACATTATGATTCTGAATATTACTCTTCTGCTCAAGAATTCTGATGGCAAGTGTCTTGGCCGTATGTCCCCTGTTTGGTTTATGACCTGAACACAGAATAATATAAACAACTCTCATAGAATTCCAATGAGTAACATCTGTTTTAAAATCCTATTTTCATTGATGCTGATATTAGAATAAATTATAAAAATTATTATAAAAATATATGATAACTAGATATTAAATAATAGTACATATCTATCTATATACAAATGTAATGTTTGTTTGTGGGAGAATCATAACTCGGAAACCACTGGATGAATTCACATGAAATTTTGACACAATACACCTAATCTATATCTATAAATTTCCTACTGGCGTCCAACGGGGAAGCAAAACTCTAAAACCCCTCCACAAAACTCCACCAAAATTGCCATGTCCCAAGGACAACCCACTAGGTACAAACTAATCCAGTCAGAAATCAAAACAACACAACCACACACAGAAAAAACGGCAAAACAACTGAGCATGCGCACTGGCACAAAGTCCCCAGCGCGTGCGCACACATGGCCGAACGGCCAACGCACTTCCCTCCCTCCCTCGCCCCGCCCAGCGTGAACATGTCACCGCACTTCCCCCCGCCCCTTCCCTCCACCCCCTCCTTCATCTTACTCCTCCCACGCTGCCTCCAAGCCCCGCTCCACACACTCCAAGCCTTGTCGCACTGCATCCCCACTGGAAAGACACGCCCCCTCCCTTCGCCCCACCCCTTCCCTCCCTGACACTCCTGGAAGGAAAGGGGGTGGGGCAAAGGGAGGGGGCGTGTCTAACCAGAGAGGGAGGGAGGAGGGAAGGAGTGAGTCAAGGAGGAAAGGGGTGGGGCGAAGGGAGGGGGTGTGTCTAACCGGAGAGGGAGGGAGGAGGGAAGGAGTGACTCAGGGAGGGAAGGGGTGGGGAGAAGGGAGGGGGCGACTTTGAAGACACAATGATGGATCCGGACCAAAGCATTCAATACGCCCAAATATCCACACAGATGGAGTTTGAGGGAAATAGACCTTGACATTTGGGAGTTGTAGTCACTGGGATTCAGAGTTCACCAAGACTCAAAGAGCATCCTGAACCCCACCAACGACAGAATTGGGGCAAACATGCCACACTGAACCCCCATGACCAACAGAAGATACTCAAGTTTACACACAAGCATAAAGAAGGGGGAGGAAGGAGGGATGCCAGAGAGAGAGAGAGAGAGAAAGAGGGGAAAGGAAGGAGTGTGAGAGAGAGAAAGAGGGAAAGAGGGCGAGTGAAGGAAGGAAGAGAGGCCAGGCAGAGACTTCAAAACTCTTACTAAAGGCCACAGCAATGCGTGGCAGGGCACAGCTAGTCATCCAATAAGTGTCCATCACCCCTAAAACACACACAAAAAACCCAGCAGAATGAGGCTGAATGGGAAAAAACAGATTTTCTACAAAGGCGAGAAAGTTATAATATTTTTTTTTAAATATAATCTTTATTAGTTTTCTTGATACATCATAGTTAAGAAAAAAGAGGGGGATTTTGGTAGGGTGGGGGTGTGACGAAAGAGAGAAATGACAGTGTAGGGGATAGTGGGGTAAAAGAGTAGAGATGTAGAGGTATAGTAATAGTAGGTATCTATAGAGGGAGGGGAGGGTAATTAAAATTGAGAGAAATTAAGAGATGATGTAGATGGTAATTTCTTCTTGAGTAGACTTCCAGGATTCATCGAGGATGGTCTCTTCCTTTTCTTTTTTCCCTTTCTCCATTTTTGTTCTTTTTGTCCTCCATTATGTTTATTTTAAATATTCTTCAAGTTTTTCCCAATCTGTCTCCGTTTCTTCTATTCCTTTACTTCTTTGAAGAAGATAGCTCAGCCTATCCATATTCTTTACATCCATCATTTTCTTTTTCCACTCCTCTATTTTTGGTATCTCATTTTTTCGAGAAAGTTATAATATTGAAAGAATTCCCGATGACAGTTTTGAAAAGAAGGAAATATGCATTTCTCACAGAAAAATTAAAAAAACAAAAAATACGATTTAGATGGGAAAAAGAAGGCTTAATGACTACATATAAGGAACAAAGGTATTGGATTACAAATGAGGAAAGAGCTAGAGAATTTTTCAATGAAATCAAGCGCGACAGAGAAAGAGGCAAAGAAAGAAGATTCGGGAATAAAAGCAAGAACAACCACCCAGAAACGTCAACCAGAGAAGAAAGCGACAGAGAGGACTACAGGATGAAACTAAGAGGATGGACAGGAAATAAACCAAATAAGGATGAGGAAGGTCAAGAGAGGGAAAATGAAGAAGACGAAGATGACAAAGAAGAAGGAGAGGAGGAAGATGTGGAAGAAAAGGAAGAAGAAGGGAGAGTGGAGGAGGAAGCAGAAGAAGTAACAAAATGCACAGAGAACTGAAAATATACTCGAACAACATAAATGGATTAAACTCACCAAACAAGAGAAATAAAGTCTTCAACAAATTAAAGAAAAAACACTATCATGTATTGGCACTACAGGAAACACATATAGCTCAGAGGCACACATCACATCTAGAAAACAAAAATTTAGGAAAATTATACTATGCGTCGGCACCAGAGAAGAAAAAAGGGGTAGCAACATACATAGACAGACAAACTACATCATCATTGGCTTTCAAGGACGAAGAAGGCAGATATTTAGGAGTGATAGTACAAAACCAAGGAAAGAAAGTCCTGATCTGCAATATATATGCGCCAAACGACTCAAAAACAAATTTCGCATCTAAAGTTAAAACACAAATAGAACTACAAGAATTCGATCAATTGATAATACTCGGGGATTTCAATGGGGTCATAGATGGAGAAATTGATAGGAGCAAAAAAAAACAGACAAAAGAAAGGAAACAAGAAAACTAGTGGAAACCTATCAAGACCAATAATTAAATGGCTGGAAGAATTTGATCTATGTGATGCATGGAGGGAAAAAAACGAGACTGTAAGAGACTACACCTTCTTCTCCGATAGACACAAAAAATGGTCTAGGATAGACATGGTATGGATGTCAAAATCTTTATTGATTGAGGTTAAAAAGATAAAAATACTATCAAGAGAAGACTCCGACCACAGCCCGTTAGAAGTGACATTAAATGAGTCAAAAAGAGGATAGAGGTGGAAATTAGATGAAAACTTATTGGCGAAAGAAGAGGATATAGAGAAAAATAGAGATATCCTGAAAGAATTCTTTGAAATAAATGACCAACCGGAAACACATATGTATTCAGTATGGGAGACTAGCAAAGAGGTCATGAGAGGATATTTCATCCAACAAAAAGCAAGAAAGAAGAAAATGATGACACAAAAAAGGGAAGAAATTAGACAAGAAATTGACAAAGAAGAAGATAGACGAAAAAGAAACCCAAAGGAAAAAACAGCAACAGAAAATCTCAAAATATTACACAAAGAGAACTCCTAGAAATGGAGGAAAGAGCGAAACAACTTAAATTCATGAAGCAAGACTACTTTGCAAACGCAAATAAGCCGGGGAAATGGTTAGCAAAAAGGCTAAGGAAGAAAAAGGAAGCATCGTATGTTACGAGACTGAAAGACGGAGACAAGGTTTTCACAAAGGAGGAGGAAATAAGAATCCAATTTAGAAACTTCTATAAGAGCTTGTACCAGGAAGAAAAGATAAATGTCGAGGAAGTAACAGACTACCTGGGCAAACAAAAAATTAAAAGAATATCAGACGAACAAAGAGAAGAGTTAAATAAAGAAATAACAGACCAAGAAATAAGAGAGGCAATAAGAAACATGAAGTCAAACAAAGCACCAGGTCCGGATGGACTCACAGCTATATATTATAAAACTTTCCAAAATGAATTAGTACCCTACTTAAAGAAAATTATGAACGAAGTAAGACAAACCCAAAAAATTCTGGAAACTTGGAAGCAAGCGACCATATGCGTAATTCATAAAGAAAATACGGACTCAGAAAATGTAAAAAATTATAGGCCCATTTCTCTCCTAAATTTAGATTATAAAATATTTAGTTTTATAATAGCAGAAAGATTGAAGAAACTATTAAGCAAGACAATAAAAACAGACCAAGCAGGCTTTTTACCACAAAGGAATCAAAACCTAAATGTGAGAACCATCGTTGATCTAATTGAATACTACGAAATTAAAAACCAAAAGAAAGTGATGTTATTGGCTGTCGACGCAGAAAAAGCTTTCGACAACGTAAATTGGAATTTTCTTAAATTTTTAATGAAAGAAATGGATATTGGCTACCACTTCCAAAATATAATAAATGCCATCTATGAAAAACAAGAAGCGAAAATACTGATAAACGGATATGAAACAGAAAGTCTAGAAATTCAAAAGGGAACAAGACAGGGGTGCCCATTGTCACCTTTGTTATTTATCC